ACCTAACCTTTAAACCAAAAGTTCATTGGTGGAATGATACGATTAAAGTAGCCATAAAATATAAAAAAGAAGCACTGATCACTTTAAAAAAAAACAAAACTCAAAAACACTTTATTCAACTTAAGAAACTAAGTACCAAATCTAAATTCTTAATCAAAAACAGTGAAAAGGAATCATGGAAAATGTTCACAAGTACATACTATAAACAATAATACGACATACACACCCTTCCCTAATTTGGAATAAAATTAGATCACTTAAAGGTTTAAATCGTGACCAGGAAATTCATATAACCGATGCATTTGGTACAACAACCGATTCAGAAAAGGTTGCCCAAAAAATCGGTACTTACTTCCATGACAACTTCAGCGACAAGATAAACAAACAACAGTTTATTCACGACATAAAAACAACATCAGAAAATATACCAATAAAATCCTACATATATCCTCTTTGTCCTGAGCAATTTAACCTAAATGAACCTTTTTAAACAAAGGAAATGGAAGTAGCACTTTTGCAATGCAGAAGCCTCGGTCCCGATGGAATACCAAACTGCTTCATCCACAACCTAGGTAACATCCCCAAAAACTACCTGCTACATATATATATAATATGATATGGAGAACAGTAACACTTCCAAACAAGTGGAAAGGAGGCATAATTATTCCAATCATTAAACCTGGAAAAAATAAACACTCCGCTGACATCTACAGACCAATAACTTTGTTAAACACTATGACTAAAATAATGGAAAAAATTATAAATTCTAGACTCATTTGGTTCCTTGAAAAATATAAAATTTTAAACAGTGAACAAAGTGGTTTTCGCCAATCAAGATCCACGCCAGCTGTTATAACATTACTCCATAAAAATTATAAATAAACATAAATACAATAATTTTTGTACTACGATTTTCTAGAGACAAAGCTTTCCTTGGAAGATTGGCCTCTAGGTGTTTAATTTGTTTTAGTATGGCTCCCAAGCGCTTGCATTTTTGAATTTGAAATCAAACTCTATAATCCAGATAGTAACAATAGTACATATATTGGTTCAGAGACTATACCATTTAAAGCATTACTGCTCTCGAGTGTTGGTATTTTAAGCTCACTTAAAACGACAAGATTTAATTATATGGTTTTTGGTCTATTTTCAATTTTCTTACATGGAGAAATCAGTTGAAGAAAATGATTCTGCACACGTTTGATCAGTATTTTAAACAGGAGCTGTATATGCTGAAAATATTCAGTTATTATTCCATTAGGTACTTATCAAGCTAATGAATAATAAAAGACTCAGTACGTGTTTGACCGCCGATAGTGAAACATATATGTGCGTTTTTATCAGCTCCTGATAAGCATTTAGTAGTTACGCAGCAATACAAGTAATATGGACATTATTAATTAATACCGTAGGACCTCCAATGCATTCTAAAAAGCAAATAGGCAAAACGCCTGACACCTCAATAATTCCTCCTAAAAAAAACCATCACTAACTCTTCACCCAACATTATGAACAATCAAAGTCAGACAAAGTATTACTACTATATATATATATATATTATTATTATATACATCTTTTGTGTAATAATGTGTGGAAGAAATTTTATCAAGCATTAAATAAATACTTAAGTAAACAAAAAGTAAAAAAAACTAAAGTAAACATATTTACAATTCAATTTAAATTCAATGTATGCAAAGTGTTAACTTGGTAACCTAATATTAATGTTTATAGATTTAGGTTTAATAAACTTTATAATATATGATACTCTATTTAAATGTTAGTTATTGTAAGTTTATTCAGCATTTAATATTTATTAACTTTGTAATATTTAAAATCTAATCTAAATCAAGTGACTAAGAATTTACTTTAATGTTAAGTTTAAAAATAAACACTTATTCTAGTACCTATTGGCTATTATTGAATCTTATTTTTCGAACCTTTCAAATTCAACTCAACTTCAATATTTATAGATGTTTGTAACATTGGAAAATGTTATGTGGGTCGCGCACATAATACAATTTGATTTTTTTTTATCTACAATGGTCATTTTTTTTTTTGGAAATATAATTTTAGCGAGGTCCATTATTCAATATTTGCCGACCGCGGTAGCCCCAAAGAAAGTCCTGGGGCAGCATGTGCTGCCTCTACTGCCCCCGTGCGCACGGCTATGCCCAAAACCAATTTAATTGTAAACGTTGAAATTATGACGTACACAATGAAATTGTATTGTTGTACATGTGTTCCAAACATTATATTACGATAGTGCCATTACTCAAAAGTCAAAACCAAACAATAATCCGTAAGAACTAAATACTACAGCGACGACTTCATATAAAATACAATTTGGTGTGCCCCACTGAACAAGAGGAGAACTTTATATAAAACATATGACCTTGTCCACGGCAAAAGCCACCAGGGGCGGCTTGTTATAAGAATACTAGGAGTGACTGCTCCTGCCCCGAAAATAGGGAAACAAAATGTTTAAGTTTAACAGGTTTATTTATAATTCATAACAGAAGATTGATCATTCAAGTAAAAAATAAGTGTATCTATATCATAAATTGAAAAAGTTAATGAAAAATTTAACTAAAGAAGAACCTAAAAATATTACACTGGCCCTATAGTAAATGTAGGTGGTGGGTGGGTTGTTTATAAACTTGCTCCTTGAGTTATGAAACTCAAGCCGCCACTGCAGATGGCCAACTAGTGGCGGTACCTCGCTGAAACTGCGATAACGGACAGGCGTCTTCTTGCTTCTCTCGGACTTCGGTCTACGAGAGGAAACCACTGCGGCTGTTCGACAAGTGGAAACTACTGCGACTGCTCGACGAGTGGATACCGCGAGTACCTACCTATATACCACACAAGTGAGCGGCACTACCCGGAACACCACGACGGAAACCAAAACCGGCAAAACCTGATGGCCCTCACAATAATATAATTGATGAGTAGGTATTTTGATAAATTTGGTATGTAGGCTGATCACAACAATGAAAAATAGGATATTATCACGTATCGTGATCACACGAAGTATTCCGGAGGCACTCGGACGGTGAACGTACGCGACGCTGCGTTGTGGTCAACGTCTAAGACGGAAAACAAAAAAATCGATTACTTGCTTATGATTCTGATGATGCCAGCTGATTGCGGCAGCGACAAAAACACAAGTCTCGTGATCACACGAGATATTCACGGCGGCACGCACAATTAAACAACTGGGCCGGCGGCAAGATCACCGGTGAACTAGATGGCTCGCTGGAAGAATAGCACCGTTCATTGAAGTTTCTACGGCCGCAGCGCAGCTTGAAAGAGTCTTTATGATAAGTGTTGGCAGCAAAAATGCAAAAGTGTTCAGTGTTCGAACGCGTTATTACTTATTGCTTTACCTGATCTTGCTCGTAGGCCTGTTGCTGCATGTCATAGTTTTGGATGGCCAAATTAAAAATATAATACGATAAGTAAAAATAGTGATAAAACAATCAATAATATTTTGTTGACTATAACCATTGTTTTTCCTTCTATCAGTTCTATCTACAATGGCTAAAGACTATAAAATACAATTTGTGGAAATTAAATCGTGTTGGGCTGCAAGGTGGTGACTGGGATAACACCAATCCTACCATTATGTACTCCTACGATATTGTGTTACTTCAAAAAAAAAATGTTCATTGTCCATCAGAATACTGCTCCGATATCGATTACTTCGAACATAAACTATGCCCATATTATATTAAATTACTCCGACATATTTGCATTTTTCTGATAGAGATAACTGCATCTACATGATAACTGATAAGTAAAAACTAAAAAACTAAAAAATTGTAAACCACGGTGCGCGATATTGAGAAGATCTTAAAGTTCAGAACTTCAGAATTTTTGAATGAAAAAAAGAAGCATATTATACGGTGTAACGGTATGATATTAAAATGTATAGGTATTTGATATGTTATTTACCCAACCTAACCTTTCTTAGTAGTTAGTATATCCATCTCAATGTCAGTAAGTCATTTTTTTCCTATGATTTGACAACTGACAAGGTAAAAATTATATTTGTACCGTTGTTTACAATCCTTATAGTCATTTAAAGCTCTCCCATCTTGTATTACTAATATAGTTCAAAATAAATAATTGCTGCTGGACCCACAATACTTTTAATATCTAGTAAATATTATTTTAATCCCAATCACATCTTTTAATTTGAAATTCATTGAGTTATTTGTTATAAACACAAATTGTTGTCTACAGTTTCTATAGAGAAAATGTATTTTGTGTAACTTAAATATTCTTTTCCCATTAATCCTCACATTGATACAAGACCATCCTATCAGCGGTTGAATGTTTGTAAGCTATTTCAAATACATTCAACCTATTCAGATGATGGGCGTCTACAGCACATATTAATTGTGATTTGACCAAAAGCTGTCTATACACATGAATTCCCAAATTGGCATTTTATTTTTTGAAGATATTTTAGGTATTACAACAAAAACAATAACTTTGTTTTAAATTCAAGTAAAACAATGATAAATTACATTTTTAAGTATTACCTATTAAAAGATAGGTATTGGTTTTGAAATGATATCTAACGTGTTTTTTTCAATTTTTGTATTTAAATTACTATTTTTGTCATATTTGATGAAGTGTTTAAAGAAGTGTTGCAATTTAAATAGGTTAGGTTGGTTACAAAATATTAAGAATAATAGATATTATATAAGTAAGCTAGCTTACAATTATCAACTTTTAAAGGTAGAAATTGCAAATATGATGAAAATAACTAACACAAATCTGCCATATTTAATTTTATAGTCGTTTGAGCCAATTTCTGCGATAGATAGATTATATTATGTGGTATTATTATCTTTTGAAATTGGTTTTTGCTAAAAATTTGTTTTAACAATTAAAACATATTATCTGCTATTGATGAAAGTTTTTTAGAATTTCTCCTGAATAATAATTAATAAGCAAATATAAAAATGAAATATTTATTTTAGTCATTTTACTCAATCTTAAAAAGAATTAAACAAGTCATACAATTATAAAGGTAAATAATTATAAGAAAAAAAATATATAAAGAAAACTACCTATACAAATAATCATCAAAAAAATGATGAAATATAAAAATAATTTAAAAATATTCTTATAGTGCCTTTGACCATATCACCACATACCTCACATGAGGACGGTGGTGTTGAGTTACAATATGTCGAACAATACCACCCATGGCCACAGTCCAACAGTATGTATTGCGTCTGGTCTGGTACATATTGTAGGTACATGGTGCATATATCCAAGGCACTGACTTCCAGTTGGATCGAGTAAGGAAGTATTTTGCATCCATTTACCTTTTAATAAAAAAATTGTACATTTTGAATATAAGATTACAAAAGAAAAATGCTACAAACTATAAACTCATAATTACCATCTCCTAATTTAACGTGCATTATTTGGATGGGTTGTGCTGTAGGAAATGCAATTTTGCAGACACCGCATTTATCTAAGCGAATCGCACACTCATCACAACACCATCCGTGACCGCAAGGCACCAAAATGTTGGCTGTATTTACTTGGCTCCAACTTTGAAGTCAAACAAAACATCAATCTACATGCTCACCTTTAGAATAAAAGGTATTTAAGTGAGTTTATTATTCAATTTTGTTCAGGAGGACGCTATGTCGATATTTTTCTAACATGTGCCTAAACATATGGCAAATTTTAAGCTTAGCAGACCAATTTAGCTTTGTTAGTTTAAAAATTAGAGTTAATTAACATCTTTTTTAAAATTAAAGCTAAGAAGGGTATCTCAGGCTTATTATTATACTTTAATTTTAAAGCAAATTATGAGTGTTTTAAAATTGTAAATTTTTTGTACTTCATAAATACTCATCAGTCATCACTCGCTTTCAATTAAAAATAAAGAAAAAAGTCTATGAGATGCCTTATAAAAAATTTTCACTCCAACTAATGGAGCTAAATATAATTTTCTGAGAGTAAAATTTGCTGTATTTTATACTTCTAAAACAGAAACTACAAAATTAGTCAGTGTAACGTTTTCTTAACAAAAAAATATTCTAATAATAATATTCAAAACTTTATTTTCAACAATCAACAAACATGTTCTAATATGATTTCATGAAAAATAACTTGGGTCAAGTTATAGAAAAAAATTTGAATGGGGGTATGGGCGCCTGAGGGCAAAAGCGTTTTGAGAATCAAAAAAAATAAAAATATGAAAAAATTCGCATTAAAAACAAACATTAAAGACAGCAGTCTATAATATCATTATGCCTAAACTCATAGTGTTATTTACAATAATTAAATGCTGGTTATCAAAATTTAAAAATAGTATCATAAAGTCATGGAGAATTTAATTTAAAAAATAAAAGTGTGAAGGGGGACAGGGACACCCGCAGGCAAATGCGGGTATTATTAGTCATATATATGAAAGAAGTTTAAATTAAAAACTAACATTAAAGACTGCAGTCTACAATATCAGTATTCTAAAAAACATAGCTTTATTAGCAATAATTATGTCATGAGAAAACTAATATTTTGAGGAACCAGCTGGTTATCAAAATTAAAAAAATGTGAATAAATAGTTGAACTAGAGTTAAGTTATAGAAAAAAAAATTTGAAGGGGGCATGGGCACCCGCAGGCAAATGCGTTTTGAGAATCAAAAAAGAAAAATATATAAAAAAATTGGAAAGAATTAGAATGAATTCAATTCTAAAAATAAAAATTGGGTAGGGGGGCACGGGCACCTACGGGCAAATGCGTTTTGAGAATCAAAATAAAAAAAATATGGAAAAATGTGTTTTAAAAATAAATATTAAAGTCTGCAGTCTACAATATCATTATTCCTAAACTCACAGATTTATTTACAATAATAAGCTAATGAAAAAATGAATGTTTATGGGGCAATAACCGAAAATCAAAAATTAAAAAATGGTTTTGAAATAATTGAACTAGAGTTAAATTTTCAAAAAAAAAATGTGAAGGGAGGCATGGGCACCCGCGGGCAAATGAGTTTTTAGAATCAAAACACAAAAAAAA